CATTGTATTATCTTCCTTTTCCTTACTATGAACATAAGTTGCATCATTTTTTCCTCTACCATTCCCCCATTGAGAATAATGAAAAATCCTCATAGTTTAAGAATTTTTCAATTTCTTATTTCTTATAGGATGTCTGTCTTCCAGTACTTGTTGTGACACAACTTATTTAGGAATTTTCTGATATTTGGGCACATATTTTATTTACAGATTTGTGTTATTACTAAAAGTGATAATAATAATAATAATCTTTTCTATACTATCAAATGGATTTTGAATCTGGCTCTTTTGTGTGTAGTCCTGATTTGGTTTAGAAAGAGAACACCTGAGAAGACAAGGGGACTTAGTTTATGAGGCCTGCTTCATGTCAACTAACATTTTCTTGAAACCATGTATCCAAACTATTTGGACTCAGACTTTACATGAAGAAATGGTAATGGCATTTAAGATCAAATTAGGAGGATTTGCTGGGGCTGAGTAAATATATATTGAATACATCAACAATGGAAGTGACACAATTTTAAGGAATATAAGGACTTGATTTCCATTTTAACTCAAAGAGAGTAATATTCCAAAAGCATTAATAAAATTTAATGTCATACGATTACTGAAAAAGGGAGACCCTGAGGAATTCAGTGACTACCAATACTTATACTAACTTTCTTCACCTTTATGAAGCCTTTATTAGATTGGTCTATGACCATATCTAGGATATTCTTTGTGAGAAAGGAACAAGTAATCTTTGGTGTTAAAGACAAAATTTGAATCCAAATCTTACTAATTTCAAGGCTGCCTCCCTAGACCCAACATACCACACCGTCTATCAGTCATATCTATGTAGTAAGGGATAATATGGAGTGGATTGAAAGGCATTTTTTTTTTCCTTTTTAGCTTCACACTTCTCTCCTTCTTCCAGTGACTGGAAAGTTGTTTTCAGATTAGAAATTCAGAAAAGGAAGTATTACTTCTCTTCAGTTTATTTTAACTTAGCAATTGAGTACTTACTATGTTCAAAACACTAAGATAATTTTGAAGCTATATTGCTCCTAAAATTATGCTATTCTTACTTATTTGTTTGTTTTAATTGCCCCAGCAGAATGTAAGCTACTTGAAGGCAGAATATATATACATAATTTTTAAAATTTTTAATGTTATAATATTTCTCGAACATAGAAGGCACTTATTGTTGAATTGTGGTAGGTGCTGGGGAAAACTTTGCTTTCAAGAAGCTTATAAACTTGGAGGGAAAAATGTGTACAGATAACTATACTATATAACGCCAAAGCACTGCTTCCATTATCCATTCAATCATTCATTTGTTCATTTATTTAATTGCTTATTCATTTTATTAATTTATTTATTATTTCATTCACTTATTCACTTATTCCTTAGTTGTTTTTTTCTTTTTTCTCTTCCTTCCTCCCTCCTTCCTTCCCTTCTCCCTTTCTCCCTCCCTTTCTCCCTCCCTTCCTCTATCCCTCCTTCTCTTTTTTTTCTTTCTATCTTTCATTCCTTCTTTGTTTCTTTTTATTCCTCTCTCTTGAACCTGGAGTGTGAGAAGGTATTAGGGAAATGAAATCTGGTTTAGGTGATTATGCTGAATTAATGAATTGTCTTAGATATCTCTCCCAATTATGGTTTTCTATAACTCTCTTCACCTTTGTAATGCATTGTTTCTAACACCTTACTACTCTGGTTTGGAAGTATTTTAAATTAGTAATGAAAGAGGCCATGTCCTTGAAACTGAGGCACAGACTTTTATGTCCAAATACCTCTGTATCTGCAATTATGTCAAATTTTGGCAAGAAATGTCTCATAAAGTAAAACATTAGATACACTTTTTTATTTTACAAAAAAAAAAGATGTAAGTTTAATTATTAGGCAGGTACTAAATAAAATTATATGTTGAAATGTACATTTCATTTCCTTGTTATTAACACTTTTATACTCTAAATATAGAAACATACATTTAATTAGGTTTTTTTTTCAATTTTAGATATTGAGACAGGGAGAGTTGACTTTTGCTCAAGATTTTTAATTCTTTAAGCAGACCTAAATGTCTGATGGTACCTTAATTCTCTTTCATGAGGAATAAATAATGGTGTCTCTCCCATGAAGAGCTACTATTAGATTTTCTTTCTATGGTAGATACATAATTCATAAGCAAGTGAGTTATAAAGGCCTCACAAGTAAAAGAATATCATCACCCTCATGTCTAAGGTATTCTAACTATGTTATGGTGATTCATTCAAGTTTATTTTATATTCAATTTTAAAAGTAATTCTTTATTTTTGAATGTGCTATTAGAAGAGAATGTCAGAAAAGAGTAGGTGGGAGTTACTAGAGTGAAAATTCTTTTATGTCAGAGGTACGAATTACTCTTCTTATTTTCACTGAAGAATTTTAATAAGCATTTTCAAAAATTATTTATCATAATTTGAAGATATATGTTAATTAAGGAAAAAATATACAAACATTCCCCTCGATTACCATAGAGATCAAGATGTTAAAGCTACATATTAGAATGAATCAAGGCGACATCCTGAAGAGTAACCTATAAGTAAGTATGGAAAACTGCCAAAATCTAGCTGTTTGATTCATTCTCATATTTAGTCTTATCATTCCTAGCTCTCAGGTAATTAAGGAAGATATTTGAATATTTCCTCATTAATAAAATCTCAATATAGCTCTCAATTTATTAAGTGAATCCAGAAACATCTACATTTCATCAAATTTTATTTACTGTATTAATAAACTGAGAAAAATAAATCTTCACTAATAATACTCATTTCTCTCTAGCCCATGCAGTCACACAATATGTGACAGAAATAGGACTTGTACCCAGGTTTCTGAATTCTATTTTCTAAGCAATGCCAGCTTTTCCTTGAATACATAAATATATCAAAATATTAAAATATAATAGTGACAGTACCAGTTCCCCTGGTATCTCATGGGAAATAGGGATCAAAGCCCTACAAAAATTATATAATATTTGCCAGAGGGTGAGATCATCTAGAGGGTGAGCACAAAGGATTATTATTATATCAAGTTCAGGGCATAGCTTGTTTTCTGGGCCTTAGCTCTGGAAAACAGGGTGTCTCCTAATATCTTGACTTTTCCCCTTTGGGCCAGAAAGAAGGATTCTGAAAGAACCCCTACTTTTATGACCAATAAAGGAGAGGCAGTTATAATTCAAATTCCATGAGAGGTCAGTTGGGCCAAGAAGAGATGTTGCCCAGGGGGTTAGTTACTTGAGGGGACCTATTAGGGAAGTATGTCCCGGGTATCATTGCTAGCCACTATTTGCTTGTAAGCAGAAAAGACAGGGGAACCAAGAATGTAGAGGGAGAAAATTCCAACACCTGCTTGAATCAGGGCTTTGGTGGATGGGCACAAAGCAAATTGGGAAAGGGGGAAAAAAAACTAGGGCAGTGTATTTAGTGCTTGTCAGGAATCTTGGGGCAGCTGTCTCATTGGGATGTTGGCTGCTTCTGGGTTTATGCTAGACAAACTTTGAGGTCCCTAGGGGGTTATGCTGTCCACTTAAGAACAGGAGCTTTCTTATGATGATCTAGAAGTCCATGTCCACAAGTTTGGCAGCTATGGGAGTAGTCAGAAGGAACCGGTAGTGATCCTGAGGAAAAAAAAACAAAACAAACTCTTTGCATCGATCTTTGGATCATAGTTTCTGGTTAGTATAACATAAGTTTTCAGTTAAAAGTCTCTAAAAAACACATAGATATGGTCTAGTTTCCCAGCCACACAGGACTAGGTTCAAACAATGCAATAAAGTTCTCTCACAATTCCCATAATTGTATAATTACATTAAGTCAGGTACAGATCAAACTACTTAGAGGTCTTTCAACAGACCAGTTTTGAGAAAGGAGGTTCACATTTCACCAAGGTAACCAAGAAAACTTAAACATAAATATCTTGAAACAAAAGGCCATAGTAATATAATAGTTACCACTAATATTAACTTATATTAAGTCCCCTTGTATCCTAGTGATCTATTCTCAATGCTCTTTTTATCAGCACATTTTGAGTCTCAGGTGTCTCATGTAATTATCTGGTCCCTAGAAATCTTTTCTTAGACAGTAGGCTTTATTCTCAGGACAGCTCTAAAGGGGACTCTGTTTCTCTGTTTCAAAATCTAGAGATTCCTAGATAATGTTGCTAGTAATATCATTTAAATTTGGTTCTCCACTTTTGAAACTTCAGAGAATTTTAGTTTACATACCATTTGTTGTTTCTACCCTTACCTAAATCTTCTATCTGATATAAGAATCTTTAAAAAAAAATGTATGAGCTACTTTCCTGCATCTTAACCAACATCATATATTTTTGATAATTATGTCCTTATAATATAGTTTAAGATGTGATACTGCTAAACCTCCTTCCTTTGCATTTTTTACTAGTTCCTTTGCTACTCCTGACATTTTGTTCTTCATTTTTTATTACATTGGCCCTGCTTATCCATAAATAATTCATATTTCTCCAATTATTTAAATTTGATATAGGTTGTTTTGGTAAATGTACTTTCAGCTATTTTATATTATCTGGAGTTATTTTATTTTATTTTGAGGGTCACAAGTTGACATTTATTATTTAAGTTGGAAAACAGGTTATGAAAGGGGTTGGGGGCACATTCAGAACAGAGAGTACAAAGTGGAGTGCTAGGGGAAAGAGAATTAGTGAGAAGACAGGGAGAGGAGAGCCTGTAATCTATGTCTACTCTAGATGGGGTTGATCCTGATTTCTGAGCCTTGGTCCAGGAAACATAATGTAGCATATAGGATGAGTTTCTACGGGGGACAGGTTTAGGAAAACATCAATGGGTGGCCACAGGTACATATCCAACCAAAGGTGGGGACTGGGATCCTCCTTGGATCAGGAGCACCACTTCCTTTTAGGAACTGAAGCATAATGATAGGTTCCATCCCATTTATTTCAGCTCTTAAGAAACGTTCCTGTAGTTAAAGTCTTTGTGCTAAAGAAATCTTTCATCGCCTCTCTAATTTCTTGTACTTTGCTTCTAGTTTCTTTGAATATGCATCGAACTGGTAAGCTGCCTGCTGGAGAGCTACTACTTTGTCCTCAGTTAAAGTGATCTGATCCAGATAAGTCTGAAGTGCTACACATATCTTGTTTAAGTCTTTTAGTGTTCTACTTATATTTACTATATCTTTCATTTCTAGATACTTCAAGATAGTCAGTTTGTTCATATTTTCCAGAAGTTTATAGTCTTCATTGGTGACTATCAGCTTGCTTGTCAGGTACATGGCCATTTTGGAGAACATGTCCTGGCAGAGCCTTGTGACTTCCACCTCAGTGGGCTCCATGGCCTCTTTGACCATCTCCATCATGGCATTGCCTAGGCCAGGGAAGGGAGGAAGGAGAAAGGGTGGAGAGAAGGATGGGGATGTGGAGGGAAGGTGGAGAGAAAGAGACAGAGAGGGGAGAGGAAGGAAGAGGAGGAGAGAGAGAAGGAAGGAGAGAAAAAGGGAAGGGGAAAAAGTTTGAGGAGATCTACTTATTTTATTTTTTAAATTAATTTATACATTTTTACTTTTCAACATTCACTTCCATAAGAATTTGGGTCCCAATTGTGTGCATGGGTGTACGTGTGTGTATGTATACACTCACATTCACACACACACATATATTTTCCCTCCAACTACTCTAATACTGAGAAAGGCCTCATGAGTTATAAATATCATCTTTTCATGTACTTATGCAAACAGTTCGATCTTAATATGTCCCTTATGATTTCTCTTTCTTGTTTATCTTCTCAAACTTCTCTTGAGTCTTGTATTTGAAAGTCAAATTTTCTGTTCAGTTCTGGTCTTTTCATCAAGAATGCTTGAAAGTCCTCTATTTCACTGAATATCCATGTTTCCCCTGAAGGATTATACTCAGTTTTTCTGGGTAGGTGATTCTTGGCTGTAATCCTATCTCCTTTGCCCTCTGGGAATATCATATTACAAGCCCTGCGGTCCCTTAATGTAGAAGCTGCTAAATCTTGTGTTATCCTGATTATATTTCCACTTGAATTGTTCATTTCTTGCTGCTTGCAGTATTTTCTCCTTGACCTGGGAACTCTGGAATTTGGCTATAATATTCCTAGCCATTTTCCTTTGGGGATCTCTTTCAGGAGATGATTGGTGGATTCTTTCTATTTCTGTTTTACCCTCTGGTTCTAGAGTATCAGGGCAGTTTTCCTTGATAATTTCTTGAAAGATGATGCCTAGGCTGTTTTTTTGATCAGGACTTTCAGGTAATCCAATATTTTTTAAAATTATCTTTCCTGGATCTATTTTCTAGGGCAGTTGTTTTTCCAATGAGATATTTCACATTGTCTTCTATTTTTACATTTTTTTGGTTTTGTTTTATAATTTCTTAATTTTTCATAAAGTCATTTGTTTCCATTTGTTCCATTTTAATTTTTAAGGAAGTATGTTCTTCATTGAGCTTTTGGACTTCCTTTTTCATTTGGCCAATTCTACTTTTTAAGGCATTCTTCTCCTTACTGGCTTTTTGGACCTCTTTTGCCATTTGTGTTAAGCTATTTTTAAGGCGTTATTCTCTTCAGTATTTTTTGGGTATCCTTTAGCAAGCTGTTGACTTGTTTTTCATGATTTTCTTGCATCACTCTCATTTCTCTTCCCAGTTTTTCCTCTACTTCTCTTACTTGCTTCTCACAATCCTTTTTGAGCTCCTCCATGGCCTGGGATGCATTCATATTTTTCTCAGAGGCTTTGAATGTAGGAGCTTTGACTTTGTTGTCTTCTTCTGGTCGTATGTTTTGAGCTTTGTCACCAAAGTAAGATTCTATGGTCTGATTTTATTGAGCTGTTTGTTCATGATCCTAGGCAATTATTTGACTTTTAAACTCTTTGTTAAGGTAGAGGTCTGCTTTCAGCATGGGGGACGTACTGTCCCAAGCTTTGGGGGCTTTGTGCAGCTGTTTTCAGAGGTACTTCTAGGGACTTGTAAATTTTCAGTTGTTCCAAGGTGGTATGATCAAAGGCGAGGTGTCTGCTCCATTTCTGGCCTTTGTCCTGGTCTATGAGTGACCACAAGCACTCTTTTCTGCCTTGGAACTGTGAGGAGGTTTCCGTCTCCACTGCCGCCACAAGCTCCACCACACCAATGCTCCTCCTCACCCCAGGACAGCAACCCAGATCCAAGCATGGGTAAAACAAGAGAATCTTTCCTCAGCATCAATGAAGAGATCCCTGCAAACCCCCTATGATTAGCCACTTGATCCCCACACCATATGTGGGCCTAGAGTTCTGGAAGTAGCTGCTGCACCAGGACTGGGGCCAGACTGTGCTCCTCTCTCATCCAGGTCTGGCAGACCTTTCCCACTGATTTTCTAAGTTGTCTTTGGTATTTGTGGGTTGAGAAGTCTGGAAAATAACATATCTGCCCGTGATTTTGTCCCCTGATGCCTGCTCCAGGTTCACTGAGGCCTGGTCTTTGCCTGTGCAGCCCACACTGAATTGTACTCCTCCCCAGTCCGGTGCAACAGACCTTTCCCATCAATCATCCAGGTTGCTTTAGGCTGGAGATTTGTTTCACTCTGTCTTTTTGTATTTTCTACTGTTCTAGAATTTGTTTAGAGCCATTTTTACAAGTATTTGGAGGGGTTTGGGGGAAGGCTCAGACAAGTCACTGTTTTTACTCTGCCATCTTGACTCTGCCCCCTAGATTTATTTTAAATTCTGCATCTCTTACTATCTCTTCTTGAAGTGTTTAGTTTATGATATATAGGAATGCTGACAGTTTTATTACCTCATTCCCTATTTTGATTTCTTCTATTTTTTTTTCTTCTCTTATTGCTATTGCTAGGATTTCCCATATAAGGTTGAATAATATTTTAGTGACAGTGGGAATCTTTGTTTCACACCTGATCTTACTAGAAAAGCTTCTAGCTTATCCCCATTACAAATAAATGATTACTTATGGTTTTAGATAAGCATTTTTTTTTATCAATTTAAGTAAAAAAATTATTCTTATATTTTCAAATGTTATTTTTTTATAAAAATAAGTGTTGCATATCATCAAAAGCTTCTTTTGGTATTTATTGATATAATCATGTGAATTTTTATTATATTGACATAATCAATTATGTTAATAATTTTCCCTATGTTAAACCATCTCTGCATTCCTGGTATAAATCTCATTTGGTTATAATGTATAATCTTTGTAATATATTGTCATGATTTTTTAGTTAATATTTTATTTAGGATTTTTGCATTCATATCCATTAATAAATTGGATCTAAAATTTTCTTTACTCTGTTTTTACTCCTTCTGGTTTTAGGTATCAGTACAATATTTGTTTCATAAAAGGAATTTGGTAGGATCCCTTTTTGCCTATTATTCCAAGTAATTAATTTATTTTTAGAATTAGTTGATCTTTAAATGTTTGATAGAATTCACTTGTAAATCTGTCTGGTCCTAATGTTGTTGTTTCTTGCCCTCCCACCCCCACTTAGGAAGCTCACTTATGAACTGTTCTGCCTTTTGAAAAAAAATAGCAGACAGATACTATAAAAATGGGAAAATAATTTCACTTTCTTTACATTATCAATATAATTTATGTGCAATGTCCTCAATCCTTAATTAATAATCTTCAACTAAATTTTGAGAACTTATTACTAAAACACACTCAAAGCTTGAATTTCCATGATAGATAAATTTTGGAACCCAGTCATATATGTCTGTATATAGTACTTAAAGAGAATACTCTAATCCTATTGTTATCTCACATTTAGTATTCCATTTATTTAAAAAGAATAACTTTCACATTGCATCTTTGTGTTATTACTTTGCTTAATCATTTCCCCCTTAAGAGGATAGAATTCATATATTATAATTTGATTACAAATATAGGTTAAGATTGTAAGATGTATATACTTGTATCCTAGTAAAGTAGCTCAGAGATGTTCCAGTGTCAATCTATTATTTAATAGATTCGATATTCTACTTATAAAACTTCTTGATTACAGAAATTTGCTATAAAAGGAAAAAAGAGGGCCATAGTTATAACAATGTATTTTAACAGGAGGAAAAAAATCTTCTAGCTCTGCGTGATTCCAGGCATGAGTCATATCTGACAGCAAATGATGTAGTCACAGAGTGTTAAAAGCAAAGTTCAGGATTAACCAGGTGGAAATTTTCCTTTTTAGATAGGAAATAGTGCAATGAGGAAATGGATTCAGAAAGGTCATACTTAGACTGTACCTAATTCATTGAAAGATTGGAGCAGGATCAAGGGGCAGATCACTTACCAGATGACGGGAGGTAGGATAAGCCTCCAAGGTAATCTCTGGTGATGCCTAGTTCATTCCCACTGGTATCAAAGAGTCCATTGACCTGGTTCTGTGCCCAAACCCATTTATAACACCAATTTAAATGTCGACCAGACTGGAACCAGTGTCTAACATATGGGTGGCCAGAGTCAAACAAAGCAGGTCAGACACAAAAGAGTCAAGAGTAAAACAGAAGTTCGATTTCAAAGTGAGGAAAATGTTTGCAAGTGAATGTCCTCCTGAGGAGGAGAGCTTGTGGTTTATGTCAGGGGAAGGGTTTTTGTACATGAAAATCACAAAAAGGCAGGACCCAACACAGTCATTCTCAGGTCTTGAGTAAACTCCCATCATTGGCAATTTTTGGGACAATATAGTTGCTCTTGGGTTCTGTGGGAATAGTCTCTAAGTTATTAAAATCATTGAGCCTTGTGGTTGTTCAGTGGGGTACAGAACCAGAGTAGTGTGGCTGAAACAGGAATAAAGCACCTGGTTTGGTTCACTCAACCTATCAGGAGATTTGATTGATAATTTTTAACTGCATCATGTTAATGACAGTACCAGCTCCCTTGAGATCCCATGGGAAATAGGGATCAAAGCAATACAAAGATTATGTGATTTTTGCCAGAGGGTAAGATCATCCAGAAAATGAGCACAAAAGATTGTTGTTATGCCTCGTTGAGGGGCAAAGCTTGCTTTCTAGGCCTTAACTTTGGAAAATAAGGTGTCTCCTAATATCTTGACAATGAGTACCAGTGAAGCACTTATACTTTTAATCAATTTAAACTTAATACTCCCTATAGGCCAAGGTCTTTTCTTTTTACATTCATAAATATCCTTAATTGTGTACTACTGAAACTTCTCATTTACAAGTCTACTTATAATTACCCTATGTCTTTCCATTGCCTTTTGAATCATCTCCAATATTAATTCTTCTGAGGTCTTGAGATTCTATAAATTGTAGCCACATAACAACACTACAATGTTGGTCATGAGAGAAAATAATTTCCCTTTATTTAAAGTGATTTTGATTTCATTAATGGGAAA